AGGCTGTCCCATCTTTGCAACAATATTACCAAAGTTAAGGTTGAGTATCTCTCAGGTGTCAGGTGCTGCTCTAAGTCGTTTCAACAACCGCAGGAGGTAGGTGCTATAGTAAGTAATAACCGCTGTGTAACAGGTGAGGGAACCGAGGTATGGAGCCGGAAATCACACACAGCTGGTAAACAGATTGGCAGACCTGGATCCACACAGTTCGTACCCTTCTTTCTTTTTGTAAAGTGAGGTAAGACGGACGTAACATAAAGCGCACCGTCTTAACCGCTTTAAAGCGAACACTTCAGTGTTTTCTAGGTACATTCACAAAGCTTTGCAACCATCCCCACCACCTAATCCAGAGCTTTTCATCACCCCGAATGTAATGGAAATCCCCTCCCCAGTAGCAAGTCACCCCTGTCCCTCCTCCTTCCTGCCCCCGGCAGCAGCCCAGTCCACTTCCTGTCCCATAGATTGCCCGGAAGGTTGGCATTACATGTAAATGGAATCACACCACTCCAGAGGACCCCTGATGCTGGCCTCCTGTACCCAGCATCTTGGTTTACTAGGCTCATCTAGGGTGTCGCAGGACAGCACTGTGCCTGCCTGGACGCGCCACCTTTTATTTATCCATTCTTTGGTGATGGGCATGGGGCTGAAATTTGAGCTAATCTAAGCAGTGCTGCTTAGAGCATTTGCATGGAAATGTTTGTGTGAACAGGATTCCAGTTCCCTTAGGCATAGTTAATAGGTTCCTATCTACTGAATACTGTGAGAACCCTTTCCCTTCTCTCCTGTTACCCCCTCCCCATGTCTTTTCTGTGCCCCTCTCCACCCCAGATGGCTTTTCTCCATGGTGTTGAGGAGAATAACCAGTGGTCCCTGGGTCACGAGAATGGTGCACTAACCTGCAAGTGGGAGACTGGAACCCACCCACAACTGCCTCTGAAGAAAGGCCGGGCAACCTACTTCTGTCAGAATCAGTCATGAAGACCCTATCCGGCACCCAGTCCTACTCTGACGCACATGGATTGACATGTGTCAATATGGACCCCTGATGATGGGTCAAGTACACAAGCCTTGGGGTCAGGTCCATCTGGGTTTAGGGCTGGCGCTGTCTTGGACAGTTGACTGTCTCGAAACCCTACCAGTTCACCCTGCTGCATTTGCAGAGCAACATGGCAACCTCGGGGCACTTTGAGGAAAGGGGCACCTATTCAGCATGGATGGCACTGCCATTGTTACTGCCACCTCTGTCAACCTGTGCTGTTTCTTGGGCGCTGGCTCACTCAGTTAGCTCTGAGGTAAATGAATGGGATAAATGGAGGGATGAGGGCCCGGTTTATAAAGGAGCTCTTCACATGACCTTCCCTGGTGGGGACTGTGACATACGTTAACATTTCATTCACTCATTCTCAGTCCACCAACAGTTACAAACCACCTCCCTTGGTGTGTAGTATTGGGAGAAAGATGGGGCTTTCTACTCCCGCAAGGAGTCTTAGGATAAGGTGACCAGATTTTAACATTGGTAAAGCGGGACAAAAGTGGGACACCATTGATGAAACTCATATCCTGGTGAAATAGCCACATGGCAGCCGAAAATCGTATATCCTAGCTTGTCGTG